ATGGGTTGGCGCGGTCTACGAAGAATAGGGCGGCACCGACTGGACTCTCTCCCACTATTGTAGCAACTGAAGGTGTGCCATCGTAGCCCTGTGCTTGACGCAGCGAGGCGGTACTGGTGAGACTCAATTGTAGTTCTTGCAAATCTGCCATTCTACAGACGTGCCAACAGATTGAAGCTAACTGTCAAATGTCTGATGTCAGATGCGGGTGGACACTAAATTGCATAACATGTATACTGTGATGGGACACTTACTTGTAGCCCTTTTCACGGTTGCCTTTCAAAAACATGGCTAATTACCCGAAACCTGCCACATGACTGCCATCTACCAATTGAGTTCTTGAAGAAGGAGTCTTATAGAGAAAGCATTTTTAAAGGCAAAGCCCGAGGTTTCTGGACAAAATGAAGCTTCAGCGTGAGAAGTACGTACGAAGTAGACCGCATGCGCGAAGCATCAGCCTTCTTGGCGCCATGACCTAACAAGGCTGACGCGCTAAGGCTCAAGGATTACTACGGACTACTAGAACTCGATCCTTTAGAGCAACAATCCAGGAACGAATTCGCGGGTAAGGACCACCTATAATGACGTTGCAGGTGAGAAGTTGGTCAATGGAGAAAGAAAAAGTAGAAAAAAAACGTCGGGCAGGGGCTTAGACAGGGACTCCCCCCTGCCGTTTAGGGGAGGAGACGTGTTGGACGAGTTGTCTGAACCTGCCCGCAGTAAATGCGCTCCAATTGCAATTGCTGGCAAATAGCCAGCAATAGCTGGCTACTTGCCAGTAATTGCAATTGGGGCGCAATAATGAAATTTTCATGTTTTGAAGGTAGAAGGAAAAAATGTAGAAATCCAGCGTAGTCGGCATCACCACATTGATTGCTTTAAAGGACGAGTTCAAATACTCCCTGTGGTCCCAAAACGATCACGAATGCCTCCGCAGCCAATCACGGCTGGCAAGTGGGCGCCCGAAGAATTTCCGACCACACCCATTTTAAGGAGTTTGACGCCCTTTTTGCGGCTTTCCGAGGTGAGTTCTGTTAACATTTACACTTCATATGTTCTCCACTAGGGCTAGTGCATCCTTCAATCCCAATAGTATTGAAAGCAACAGACCCTGCTTGGACTGTTGCTTTTAACCACCTCAAATTCATGCTTTCGTCTGCGCTGGCTCGGCCCAGGGCTCTCATCTTCCACTTTGGAATTCGAAGCCGAGTCAGGCACCATTCCACATCGTATGTGCGCTAGCAAATCGCGGAAGCACCATGGAGGGAAGTTCAGCCATGTGACTCACGGACTTAACACGTGCTCCCCACACCATCACTAAAAACGCCATAGAATGCTATTTCGCTTCGCCGCGATTGGGGAGAGGGTTTTAATTTTTCCTTATTAATTTTTCCTTTGTCCTTTATAGGGTTTCTTCCTTTTTTCGATTATAGCGTACACCTCACATTGCCGCTGTCATCAAATCTTTTCACCCAGGGCGTTGCCTTCAAGACATTAAAATAAGAGGGACTACAGAGTTTATTCTTTGGGAAATCGAACAAAATTTTAAGTTTTCGACGAGCGATTGTATCGACAAAATCTCACCTGCCAAAGGGCGAGCAGGTTTGACTGCGTCGTCCATATTTTGTTGAGTAGGCGTACTCTGCTTTTCATCAGCTCCTTGACTCTTGGATCCGTAGGTGTTTTGATGACTTTTTTGGTCAAGACTAAACTGGTCTTATTTTCCAGCTCGTCATCCATTAGTGGCCTCAGTACGGTCTAAAATGGAGGTAACGTCGCAAAAACTTGTTTTTCTCACCCATCAAGAGTTATTATTGGAAATGCGAAGATAGTCTGATGTAGAGTTCACGATTTGCTTGAAGGACAGGCAGTTCTGGTGAAAATGCTCGATGGAAGGCACTCATTTTCGCGAGCTCGTCTGCGCTCTTTCACCGACATAGTATCACATTGGCCCTCGTCCAGTAAAAGAGCTCAGAACTGAGGGTAGATTGACAAGAGCGTCCTCCCTCACTGGGATGGTCCTGTGACACAAAAATACGCCTTGCTCAGAGTCATTTTATCGCGCCATTCAAAACTGGTCCTACTCCCTTCCCGGTCGACTGTGCATTGCGCAATTCTCAACGAGGGGGTCGAATTTGGAGTCACTGGAGGTCAAAATGTTGGAAGGGTAGGGGGTATTTCTGGAAGTTGAGGGAGTGGTGTAGAGTGGGCCGCTTTCACATGGGTTTTTGGCGAAACTTCGTGGAAAATTACATGGAAGAAGCGTAATAAAGAAACTTAGCTCCTCCCTCTCCGATGGCTGTTTTGGAGGTGAAAGTGGTCCATGATGACGGTCTCAAAATCAAATACTGAAGCCATGATTGTGAGGTGGTGGTTTGGGGTGGGGAGGGAGATCGTATTAGGGGACTCTCCTAAGGCTGGTGGTGGCGAGAAGTCGTCTAGAAACCCTTATAAAAGGGAATTTCGGGAGTTGGAACAGGGAACGGTTGATCCAGCCCGTCAATCTCTGTGCCACAAAGAGGCTAAGGAGACTCAGCGCAATAGAGAGGTTTCCTCCAACTACATTTATACCCGCAGCTCTCGGAAGGGGATCGAAACTCACTGCGTTGTAAAGTGACCTATAATTCAATCAATGTAGTCTTTTTTTGCGGAGCATTGTGCATTCGTATCTACTCATAGAGCTCATTCATATCAGGACAGATGAGGCCTGGTCTAAGAAAGACTCCCGATACCACAGGAAGGAAATCAGGTAAGAATATGAAACAAAAGGATCGAATTGACCAGTAGCGAAACAAAAAGGAAAAGGAAAATCTCTCAAAGCGTTGTTTCAATTTAGGTGTTTTTTTTTTCTGGGCAGCGGGCTCGTCTGCGAGATAAATGATACAAGAAATTGTGGGTACCGAGGCGAGTGAACAGAGGCGATAGTGACAGAGTATAACGAACCAGCGAGACTCAGACACTGGATCAAAGGGCGGGCATGAAAGTGACACAAGTGACAAACGTTCCGTTCTTTTGCGTGGCCCAGCAGTCACGGAGGGTTCTCTTACCTTGATAAACTTCATTGTCAAAACTCACTACATCATGTCCGGCTTCCGTCAGGGTGTCGGCTATAGCTCCCATGAAGTTTGTGTGCGAATAACCAAAAGTTGGGGAATAAACGAGAAACTTGTAACCTTCAGCACAAGAAACGATTATCAACAGAATTGCCAAATACACGTTCATATCTGAAAAGAAAACACTCAATGTGTGTTCATATTTGAAGTTTCTTTTTGAAAGACTTGCTATAACTTCTATATGAATAGAAGAAAAAGAGAAGAGTATGAATGCGAACGATTTGAACTAGCTGGGTGTCTAATGCAGGATGCAAGCGCGGGGACTCTGTTGGGATTGCAAGATTTCGGAAAGAAATGGTACATGCCACATTTTCCAGCGTTTGTGTTATCTCAAACGAACATTTTATCCTGAATAGGGGAAGCCTCCTGCTCGGCTTGTGTTTGGAAATTTTATCAGGTGAGGGTTGTCAGGATAACTTCGTCCCGACTTAGCTTAGTGAGTTTCGGACTTATGGCCTTATGGCGACCATCCTGTAGTAATTTGTCCCTTAATCCAGGCTTGCTGATAAGTCAGAAATTAATCAGAATACCGGCAATATTACATCCATTTCACCGAATGTATTTGAGCCGACTATACCATCTTGCTTCAAAAACGAGATGTGCGTCAAGTGCCAACAACCACAAGCAGCGACGGCTGCTAATAAGTCTGGTACTTGAGGATTAATAGTCGGTCCTCTAATAAACCGTTGGTAAATGAAGAGTTCTATTAATAACATGAAAGGAATGTATTTGCAACCGGCTAATCTATCATTTGGCAGAGAAATATAAATATGTATATTTGTAGAATCGCTGAAAACATATCCTTGCAGAAAATGTCGTCTGTGGGTCGGTTTCTGCAGCTCCAACGCGCTTCTGGTTCTCTGAAGAAAATTATAAGTTTGCCCCCACTTGCTTCGCTGTCGCGCAACTTTTTCGAGAAAGTGTTTTTCTGCTAAACTCGAGATTAAAAACATCTCCCTTCAACGTGATTGAATAAACGATCGAGCTCTCGCTTATATGAGGAGATTCTGCTAATAAGATTTCAGTGTAAAAAAAATTGTAATAAATTCTTGGAAGTGAAGGAAAAGAAAAAACTTCAACTGAAGGAAAATTCCCAAGAACCCATAAAAAAAATACTGAATTGAATATCCCCCTCTTGGTGAGCGCGACTGTGATACGGGGCGGGAGAGGAGATACGTTAGAGAGCATGCCGTAGGAAAGGGCGCAGACACCACGTATACTACAAAAGAGTAAAATTGACGGTATTTGCAGCAGAACATGTCAGAGGTTGGTGCCATTGCCGCCATTCAAATCGCAACCAGTCACCATCTTCTGTGCTTGGGGACCCTGCTAACCTTCAGCGGGGAGAGTTGCCTTAACAGTCTAATTGCGGACTGTGCCTATAAATCTACATTGTGTGCACTGGATGCGTATCGAGGATAAATCTGAAATCTAAGAGCTCAACAATCTGTTGAAAACGTCATCAGCTTATCACATCTTTACTAAAAATGTTGGGCGCAAGTCAAGGCATGTAAATCTAGGTGTCTCAAAAGTGAACTTCTTAAAATTATAGAGTAATTAATAATAACCACTATTTTTTCAGAGTAGCATCGCGTAATTTTTGATGAAGTGAGGAGCGCAAAAGACAAGATAATTTGATTATGTGAGAAAACTGGTCTACCAGAGCATTGTGTTGAGTGCTGTAGAAAAACCAGTAACCAAACTTCCGGCGACTGTTCAGCTTATTGACAAACGGTAACGAACGTTTGAGATGAAAGAGTTGGATGTGTTCAATGCAAGTGTAAATACTTCACGATAAAAAGACCTGCCCTCTACCCGGCGACCCATGACAACATTCAGTTACCTGTGGGAACAGAGATTGGGCCTCGCTCTTAAATTGAGCAAGTGAGGAATCCCAGATAGATAGCTGGCCTTCCCTCCATATAAAGAAAGACGTACAGACATTCAACCATTCAACAATCATTATAAAAATCGGATGCGTAGCGAAATTCAACCCAACTCTCCATCCTCCCCCCACCCCGATAAAGGGTACCTCAATATTTGTTCTATTCTCACAAAATTCGCTTTAGGTTTAGACGTTTTTGACGGCTCGGTGGGGGCGAAGGAGCCGAAACGTCAGCAGTAACGTTATCCCATCTTGGACAGCTACAACCACGTATTCGGAGCTGTCGCAATATACGGTGGCACCTTCCAGGATTAGGTCTAGGAGGGGCATTAGCCTTGGGGAACGAACGTGGCTAACGCACCTTGGAGTTTCTCCTACCCACCCTAGGGCATAGTCCCGTTTTAACAAAAAATAGACACGTTTCGAGCTAATTCAAATGCACTGCTACTATAATGCTCCCTTATACACTGCTCCGCATAATTATACAGCCACCTATGGATTCTGCAAAAACTCTTCTCCTAAGATGTATTCGAAGAAGCCTCTATGGAAAAGGTTGTAGGTATAAATGCTATTTTGCACACCAGCACAGAGTTCCAGCTTTGAAATTTGAAGGAAGTTTTTCTGCAATTTTTCGAAAAGCCGCTCTGACCTATTCCGCATAATTATACAAGCCACCCCATACTTTCTTGTTGCCTTTCTTTCCTGCTCGATTAAATTTTTTTGTTGTTATCCACACTTCGTCTTTAGGTGAAAACAGAGGGAAACCGTCATCATAATTCAAATAAAGGCAAATGGTAACAAAATCGTGAAGGAGGTTAG